GTATTATCTAGCACAGCTGAGGTCCTGAGTTGGATTCCTAGGGGAGGGACAAACAGGATGGGGTGGGACGGTAGAGACCTGAGGGAATCTGAGTATCAGTTTTCCCATCTAAAAGAAAAGAGGTTAATATACATGGATTGCAAGTGCTCTATCACTGAGCTACAAACCCAGCCCAAACAGTAGCATAAGCTGTTATTTGTATGTTTTTCCCACAAATCCAATCTGATGATCTAGAGGAAAAAAACAAAAACAAAAAAACCCTACCCTAAATCATAAACAAAAACCAGCCTCAAATCATACAGGCTCCATGCATCTAGAAGAATGGTGTCAGGCAGCACATGGGAAGGAGAGGACCCTCATGACACATCTGGCATAGCTGACTTGTTCAAATCCCACATCTGCCTACATAGTTATTTGCATATTTAACATGTCAATACTGCTTCCTTCTGCAAACGTTTACTAGACATGAGGAGTTATCACAATGGAAGGTGCCCTAAGGCCTTTTACTGCCCAAGGCTCCACCCTACCAGCCACTGTGCTGTAAATGATGTGTTGGCATCAGAAGGTGGCATCAAAGGTGAGCGCCCTAGACATTCATAGATCCTCCAGACTACCTCGTACTATCAGCAGTCAGCAGTGGTAGAGTTGGACGTGTCTTTGTGATAAAATTTGCTGTATGTGAAAGCTTGACAACGGGCAGGTGGCTGGTAATCACCTCTAAGAGTAGCTTAGCTGTTCCCCCTCATCAAGAACATGGTCTTTTATTATCTACAAATACAACCAAGGACATAACAAATACAATTGAAAGTAACAGAAGTGTCAACTTACAAGATTGCCTACCAACCAGGGAAGTGTGTGATGGACAAGTCATCCACACAGGAGACATCTGCAGCTGTAGAAATACACGAGGCAATGTAAGGACACGTCCCAAAGCACCCAGTTTGGCTATTTCAACATATACTGGGATTACAGCAAACACCAAACCCAGCTAAGTTCCTGGAGAGAAAGGAATTCTGTGAATTTTAGTGAGAGTATGGTGCCCTCTGCTGGACACCAAGTGAACCTCCATGATGGCACTACAGCCAGGGTAAAGCTGAAGCAAATGTGTATACACACACACACACACACACACACACACACACACACACACGTGTATACTGTACTGTATCCAGTCATTACAGGCTGTGAAGATGAAAATATAAAAAAAATCCCAAGACAATGGAGCAGGAAGGTTTCTAAGATTCTCTTCTAAATGTCACACTGAGAAACCCACCTGTTTCCCTGTGTATCTCCACAAGTATTACTCTGGAAAGAAAAAATGGGAACACCCTGCAGGGGATTCCAGGGAAACTTAGAGACATACTGTTTATAAAGAAACAAGAGGCACCACAAGCTCCTGAATGGTACGCGGTGTCTTCTTGTTGGTTGAGTGAACACACTTCAGGTCACTTCTCTCAAAATGGGATTAACCTTTGCTCTCATGCCTGAGCCAGCTAGCAAAGGTTGTCTGTAGCCAGGCTGGCTCAAACTCAAGAGATGCCCCACCTCTGCTTCCTGAGAGTTAAGGCTGTGCACCACCACACCAGGCTAAGCTAAGTCTGTCTTAATAACCATGCAAAGCTGGCTCCAGGGTGTGCCTTGAGAAGATGGCTCAATACCTGCACACATTTTACCCCCATTGTCCTGTTCAACATGGGTCCTTGCCTGATGAGGCCAAGCAGGGTCAAGCCCTAGGGTGAAGGCTGAGTCTGCCTTCAAACTTCCTTTTCCTAATAAACAAACACATAAATGACAAAAAAATGCATTCGTTTCTTTTTTCTAGATGTGTTAGATAGAACACTACAGGAGACCATGAGCATTCATTAATGTTCATCAGTGTCATATTAGTTAACTGCTTTTCCAGAAAGGACTCCAGAGGGCATGGGAGACAGAGCAGACTTGGGGCCTGGAGAGGGAAGAGGCCCAAATAAAGGCTGGAGAGACTAGGGGTTACAATTAGAAAAGGACACCAGCATGCCACCTGCTTTGTTAGCACTGGTCTTTGGTGTGAAGTTTACCTAGTCTTTATCAAGGGCAGTGGTGTTAACTCAGGCTACCCACTAGAGCATTCCAAAATCAATGATGCTTCTGGGCATGCCTGCCTGATAACTCATTATTCCTGAGGCAGGATTGTGCAGAATGTGGCAGCTCTAAAGCCTCCCCCAAATACCCTGCAGCTCTGGTGGAGAATTACTGCTGTATTGGTTATGATTTCTGCAGTTTTGAGCACAATGCTTCTACAACAGCTAGCAAAGAAACCGAGAGGCCTTGCCCTTCTTAATTTGTCAATGCGGCTGACTGCTGAGTTTAAATGACTGATCCAAGGGCAAGGGTGCCAGTTGCCCAACTGTTTCTGTAAATGGCAATCAAAGAGCCTTTTCCAGCATGTGCTGTCTGGAACCCATGATACATCTCCCTGAAAAGCCCTACTCTGAAGAAGTTGTTTTGAATCATCTACTTGGGCTTTCACGGCCCATCAAAAAGTTACCTAGTTTATGTTACCTAGTTTATGTTTTTTTTTTTAATTTCCAGTTAAGAAATTATTGAATAGGCCCAGAAATGACTTACCTTGAAGTGTTTTAAAGATACTTCAAGATGCACTTAAATTTCAAGAAGAAAGGAGTTCACACTTAGGTAAAATACTCACTTAAACTCAAATTGTTCATTCAAACACCATGCTCTCTAGTTTACCAGGCTCCAACAGGCAATGTCCAGCTAGTCCTTGCACTATAGCTCCATACCCTCACAACCCTAATCTCAATTTTCCTCATTTCATTGGTCAGATGTGTTGACTTGTGCCAATGTCAGGTCTAGGCTGATTTCCACAGCTGGGAAGATCCAGGGAAGTTTTCAGCTCTGTAGTATTATTTGCTACTTAATATTCAATCTAAATGTGTACTACAAATGCAGATTGCAGCTGGGCATCTTCTAACAATGGACAGGGTACAAGAAGGAACTAATGGCTCCTCACACCTACAAGAAAAGGTCTAAGCCAGACTCATTCCAAGATCATCTGTGCCAAGTCTGACCCTCCAAAATCAGGAAATAGAGAAATGTAAATATTTCATAAAGGGCCCTGTTGCTCCTTTTAGAAGCAACCGTCGGGAATGTGCTCCTGTGCCAAAGTCTGGAGTTCAGAACTGCTAAGCTCCACACATACACGAACAGGCTTACTTAAAAGCCACCCTCCAAGTTCTCAAGACTTTGACTTGCTATGGTTTCTGTGTCTAAGAATTCAGACCAAGATATGCTGGGCACAGTGACTAATGCCTATACTCACAACACTGGGAGGTTGAGGCTGGAGGATTGCTCCTAGAGGACAGTGTAGGCTATAGAAGGAAACCGTGTCTCAAAAATTAAATATTAAAATTATGTGCCAAATTGAAAGAGCTGTGAGTTAGGGGGAAAAAAAAAGAAAAAGAAAGGTGTCTTTTACTTTTCTTTCTTCATAACCAATAAAAATGTATAGGACCAAAATGTTGGGGGGCTGCTGAGCCCTGGAATATGACAGTATGAAGTTTGCCCCATCACACCAATTATCATTATTGAGACCAGGTTTACAAGGTTTCTGCTTAAGGTTGCCTTCAATCCAACAAGGGTGAAAAAGGAAGTCACCACAGGGAGCTGAAGTCTAGAGGGTTCTTAAATGAGGTTCTAAAGATGGAGAAGCTGACAGAGAAAGGTGGTGTTCTATCTGGACAGAACAATGACTACAGTGGCCTTTTGCCACCTGGGACTAAATTAATGAAAGCATCTAAAATAACATGGGAGAAATAAATCAAATGAAATCTCAAGAACGACTGGGTCATGTGGGAGGAAAAATTAAAAGTAATCAAGTAAAAACAGGTGATGAGATTTATGTGAGGAGCAAGACAAGAAAATGACGGAGAAAACTTACCTACTCCCAACCCACCCCAGGAAACTTAACACCTCCCCAGAGGGGCAAACTATCCAAATAACAGCTATAACCGGATCGAAATGCCTATGAAACACCCACAACTTATCACCAAACTGAACTGGAATCCAGATGCAGAGAAGGATGAGTGAAGAGCAAAGGGGTCCAGACCAGGCTGGTGAAACCCACAGGAACAGCTGACCTTAACATCGGGGAGCTCTTGGTCCCCAGACTGATAGCTGGGATACCAGCATGGGACTGATCCAGACCCCAGGAACATGGGTTTCAGTGAGGAAACCTCAGAAATCTACGGGACCTCCTGTGGTAGTTCAGTACTTATCCCTAGCATAGGTGTGGACTTTGGGAGCCCATTCCACAGAGGAATACTCCCTGAGCCAAGACACACAGGGGTGGGCCTAGGTCCTATCTCAAAAGATGCTATAGACACTGATGACACTCTATGGATGGCCCTATGGAAGGATATGTGATAGGTAGAGTTTTAATTGGGGAGGGTGGTAGGGGAGGACTGGAGGGAGAAGGGAACTGGGATTGTCATGCAAAACAATCTTGTTTCTAATTCAAATAAAAAAATCTGCAAAAAAGAAAAAGAAATGCCTATGAAAACCAGACTCTCATACTCCAATGACTTGAAACCCAAACCATAAGATAAGCATGCAGTACATTCTCTCTTTCAAGCACAACGCTCAAAAATAAATTTCTGTTGTGCTTTGTTTCTCCTGGAAGGAATAAAACCATCACTGATTCCAGAAGGCTTCTTCCTGAAGTTTCAGGCAAACATTCTGGACTCTTTGACCTGAGAATGGGGATGGAGAACACAGGTGTCATACTGTTTCCAATTCCAATTGCCAATGAAGATTAGAAGCTGAATGCAAAAGAAAAAGGTCATCTTAAAGGAGAAATGGAGCCCAGGGTGAGGGTTACACCTTCAATCATAGCACTTGGGAGGCAGAAGCAGGTGGATCTACAGAGAGTGTACCAGTATATACAGCACTACAAAGAAAAACCCTGTCTCAGAGAGAGAGAGAGAGAGAGAGAGAGAGAGAGAGAATAGCAAACCATCAAAATTTATTAACTTTCTCCTTCACAGGAATACATAGGAATGTAATATAAACACTGACACATGAAAGAGCAAAAATCAGGAAGACAATGGACTGGATGACACTGGTTTCAGCACTGTACTACTTCCTAGTTTCATCTGCATCAAGAATCCCATGGTTACAGAGACTGGGAAATTTAAAGGAACATTCAGATTTATGGATACTCCAGTGGGCCCCTGAAACCCAATCAATGCCTTCATCTTCCTATTACAAAACCATTACAGCTGAACACATGCTCACATCATCCATTTACCTGAGGAATTTAATGTGGAAGCCTAAAAGTAGACTCCCATGTAAGCTTTCTGGCATTTGTAAAGGCAGGGATTTAATTGCCTCTATTCCTCTTTAAAGAAAACAAAACTAACTACATGAAAAGCCTAGATGTCTGGTGTTAGCTGGACAGCTATACAGTCATGGTGACCCTCATTCACTCTGTCCCAGGAAGCACAGCACACAAATCCCCACAGGATTCCCACTGGGGAAATGGGTATTTGGAATCCTTACCTAAAAGGTAAGGTCTTTCCCAGAACTCCAGACCAGGAAACAGTGACTGAAAGTAAAGACTGGGATCAATAACCACCTTCATTTAAAACCATGCCTGCTGCAAGCCTGAACTTAGTAATAAGGAGTACAGGCGGCAGTTTTCTACACTTACCCAAAATGATTAAGATAACTTGTCTTTTTATCGAATGATAAAAGAGGCAAGAGGCAGATTTTGTTAACTATCACACAATAATGGTACTCAGTGTTACAGATTTAGGTTCAGATAAGGCTCCTTTAGGGCTAGAGATCAGAGAAGTCTGGGTTTGCCAAGTCTACCCACTACCTTGTTCCGCCCACACAGGAGATTGTGAATCTTGTGTGGAGCTCATTCCTTGCAGCAACAATCTACAAGTAGGTACCTTAGTCTAGGGACCGAGCAGTGGTGTATGCAAAGTCTTTGGTGAAGATGTGAGACTGGCCAATCAGGTGCCTTTCTTTTTCCCAGGGGCAGCTAACCTATGTTGCTAAGAGGTACTTGGCACAGTGTCCAAGATGTATTGTGCTCTCACCAGAAAACAGAATGGAGAAAAGCAGAGTGAGGCTTTCAAATGGACAGAAACTGACATTCCTAAGAGATCTCTATACCCATCTGGCCTTTTTGTGCTACTTTATAAGTCAGTTCTTACTCAGACAACTGTGTGTGCATGTATGAGTGCAAGCACATGCATATGTGGAGGCCAAGGCTCATGTCAGGCACCTTTGGAGGAGCTTTACATTTGTTTCAGACATGTAAGATGATCAAATGGCTCAATACTGTGCCATTGGGGGGGGGGGCCTGCATGTATTACGAATTGAACCCAGTGCCTTAAGCACAGTGGACATGTGCTCTACCACTCAGCCATACCCCTAGTTCTGTACTTTGATTGGAAAAGAGCCACTCTTCAGTGAACTCCATTATCAACTCTTGTGTGCATCCTGCAGTGCCTTGGCTTCTAAAATATCCTTCACTACAGTTCTGTTCTTCAGATCACATTCTCACTATTAGCCTTGGAAGACAGTGATCAGACTTATCTATTCAATTCCGGGACTAGTCACACAGTAGGGCTGCAGCCTCTTTCCTGTCCAGTTGTCATTCTGTCTGGACTTGCTACCTCACCTCTGCTTCACTCAACTCCAATCAGATATTCTTTTAGAGTAAATATTTTCATTCACCTACTTATTTTTCTGTCCTTCTAATTCTTTGTATTGGGACTAATTCACATTAGAAAGTTATTTTCCTTAAAAAGAAAACAAGGAAAAAAATGGAAACAGTGAAAATCAGATCTACCCTCTACACTACTAGAACCTGTCACCCTTAAGCAAATAAGGCACCTGTAACATGGCCCATGGGACAAAAGGAATACTGTATACACAAAACCCTGTGGATTACAAAGCAAGGACTTTCCTACCAAGGCCTGGCAAGACCACCCAGAACTGCTAAGGAGGGATCACCCACAGGCTCCAAAGAACTCAAAGAACTGTACCTAAAAATCTTCCCGAAAATAGAAATGGACAGAACTAATCTGTATATGGTCAGCCTAATCCTCCTGTCAAGTAGTGCTTCATAGACAAGTGGAGAGGCACAGACAGTCTCGAAAGCAGAAGTCAGAGAGCCTGGATTCTACTCCCAGGCCTATGACTTACTGCCCACATATGTGACCCTGCAAAAGCCGCTTCTCTCCACACTCATCTGCTTCCTCTTCTGTGAAATGGGTCCTCACAGTGGTGGCAAGGATCACATGAGACACTGAAAAAACGTCTTACATGTTGTGTGGTATTGTAAGGGAGAGGGAGTAACGGCAGGCTTACTACCTGTTAGTAGTGCTTACCACTGCTGATGCTATTAGATGCGCCCACCCAAGGTCACCCTGCAGAAGAGCTTAAGTATGGGTGCTACATACACACACTGTCGTTTTCATTTCATTGGGGCTGTCATTTTACACAAAGGAATTCTCAGTTCCCCAAATTGGCCTCAGACTACTTTAAAATGTGATGTCACCAAATCTATTGATAAACTTTTCTCCAAAGATGCCCAATACAGTTATCTTTGTACAGAGCCTAGAATTTAAGATATATCATGCTGAAACTTTTAAAATCTTAAAACCCTTCCCAAATAGCCATATATTTAAACTAGTTTTAAATAAAATAAAATGAAAATTAGAGGCATCATAAATAATAAGATTAGGTCACAGTTCTTCAGTGGTCGACTTTTTCCTGAGCTTCAAGGCCAGGGTCATAGTCCTTCGAATGCTTTTACAAGCCGAGTCCTGCTGGAGGTAAAAGGACATGTCGGTTGGCAATGAGGCTGCGCTTTTCAACACTTGGACTTGAACAAGGTCTGCTAGGAGCTGCCAAACAGCTTTGGTGGAGAAACCATGTGGTCTAAGGTTGGCTTGCTAGTTCCTGGATGCCAGGCCAAAGTGTGGAGAGTGGCTAACACACACCCCCAGTCAAGGGCTCTCAGCTCTTCCTGTAAGCAGATTCTGCTCTCCTCCACTCTAGTAAATAATTGAACAGAGAAAACAATGAGAGAAGTGTAGCGATCTCTCTCCCCAGGCCTTTGGGACTCTGCCTAGCTGCAGATAGCTCACATGCAGAACAGACACAGGGGCAGAAAGTGTGCGACTCTGCCACAGATGTGACGAGCTCAGAGCACCCGGAATCTGGTATTCTTGCCAGGTGACCTTTATTACAAGTGTTATATGATGACCAGAAGTCAGCTCAGCAGAACCACTAATTAACATGATGGCTGTCAATTGGAGCCACGGGGTGTTGCTAACCTCCACTTTTCTTCCTGCTTTGCTTTGCTTTCCGGGGCTTCAGGATGGTGTAGTTCACATATACCGTATACTGATCCGACAGGAAGGGGACATAGAATGCCCGAAGCAGCTTTGAAGACCTGAAAGAGAAGAGAAAAGGGGGGGTAAGAATTTCATCACTTCACTAGTGACTTCAAAAATAATTAAATCAAGTCCTACATCAAGGATTATGTTTTATATAAATACAGAAAAGTCTACTATTCAGGTACCAGATCATGATAATAGACCTTGTTACTCATGCCAAGAAAAAGTCTGTCTCCCTAATAAGCAGCCTTTCACAAGCTATGGGTGGCACACAAAGGTTCCAGGGCACACAAAGTTGCAAATAATTTTTGCATCTAAACAATTACAGAAATGCCAAATACTCAAACAATCCTGGCCCAACTCTAACTTTTCCTAGAGAGACGAGAAAACCAAGTACCTGTGCAGTGTTGCAGCAGTGCCTGAACCAAGTGACTAGTTTATTCACAAGTTCATGCCAGCACAAAATGTTCTGGAAAATTCTTATGACTAAAGTATGAGAACTGGAAACAGTCTACACCGTGGGGTTTTGAAGCATGTAAGCAATTTGGTTTTAAATTTGTTTACTCCATCTGACAAATCTATGAGAAAGGTGACAATGACATCCTGTTTCACAGACGGAGAGCAGAGGCATAAGCTGCTGAGGATCATGCAGATTAATCAGCTTGTTCAAGTTCATTTAGTAACTGATAAGAGCCTCATTAAGAGCCTCATGCAGCTTTGATTCTAGAGTCTGCAAGCTTCACCATTATGGCTTATCTGGAAGCTTGTGGATTTATCCTTTTTTGGTTGTAACTACAGCTTCAAATATATTGAGTATTATTTCCCGACTGGATTTTTCAATCTGAAAATCCAAGTTGGCCCAGTTACTGATACCGGAAACGAGATAACTGAAAGGTATCCATGGCCAGTCCTTTTCTAGATTCTAAACTTGTAAATGTCATGTCGACGTGGCATTTGCACTGGCAGCCTACCTCTGGGCTTGGCAGACTCCTGCAATGCCTGCGCACACAATGATATCGCACTTGGCAAACACACCTCCTAGAGAGACTTCCCAGCTGAGATGCTGGCAGTGCCCTGTGCTCAACAGAGATGCAGTTCACTTTAGCAGCCAACAGCTCAAGGGCTTGGATAAGGAAGGGAGGCTTAGAGGAGACCCTGCAGATAAAGTAGGATTCACTCTTGTGAGTTGATGAGCAGGAAGAACATGCACCTTCCCAGACATGAGCTAATTTCCTCCTTTTGCTCACAACACACAGATAAGGTAATGTCTAACATTGGCATCAATTCCTTCAGGTCAGTGGCCATTCCAGAAATGATTCCCGTTCTTAACTCAGTCAGATATGCTCCAGTGGACTCGAGCCCCTGGTTAACATCAGGGTCTGCAGAATCAACTGTGGTGTTTTCCTGCGGAGCAGCTCATGTAGTTTCAGTACAGAATGAACCACTGGAGGCAATTTTATCTGCTTTTGGCCTCCACCGGACACAGTTCAGAATTCCTACTTAAACATTTCTCATCTCTAATGTCATACAAAAAGTGGCACAGGAAGACAATTCCAAGACAAATTAGACACGCACAGATATGAGAAGTGTACAACAGATGTCCAATGGCAATGAAACTGACAGTATAAGCAAATTTCACACTATGGTGTTTGGGTGGCAGTAGACCAGATGAGTGTCCCCAAACTCAAGAACTTCTGAGTTAGGCCAGCACCTGCCAAGCCCGGTGACCTGAGGCTGATCCCCAGAACCCACACAGCAGAAGAAGAAGAACAGATTCAAAGTTCTCTTCTGACTTTCCCACATGCACTCCTTCCAGCAACACACAATAAATGTGATTTTAAAAAAAGAACTGATCAGTAAATAATATATTCCCAGCACAAAAAGGAAATAGCATACTCTCTGCCCAGTTAGGCTTCACCAAGAAATATGTTGTCATGCAATATTTGCAATAACACCCTGATGAGTCCTGTTATAATAAAAAGACACACCTTATCCTTTCATTTTCCATGCTGTTGTGTGCAAGATTGTATTTGGTATAGTTCATAAGTGGATAAGCTAAAAGAAGGAATACAATAATGACAGAGGAACACAGTTGACAAAGACATTTTAAAAATCATTTATTAACCAGACAGTGGTAGCACACACCTTTAATTCCAGCACTTGGAAGGCAGAGGCAGGTGGATCTCTGTGAGTTTGAAGCCAGCTGGTCTACAGAGTGGTCTACAGTTACTGCTACCCCTACTGTCTGGCAGGGGGTGGGTGGATGGGGATCATTGACTAGTCTACTTTAAATACAAAAAGAAAAAGAAAAAGTTTGAACTAGGAAACAAAAGGAGCTACGTGAATCATGATGGAAGAACTAGGAGCAGTGCTGAGCCAGATTTTATTAGTGATGGAACTGAAACCCACAATCAGTCTTTCAGAATGGATGAATCGGGTTCATGCACAACAGCCAATGAGCAGTTAGCTGTAATCTGAGACTGTATCCATCTCAGAAGTAACCATGCATGTGTGTGTTCCCAACAAGTAAAATATAAAATAAAAATTGAGAATATATGGCCATGTGTGGTGGCACACATCTTTTATCCCAGCACTTGGGAGGCAGAAGCAGAAGGTATATATTTTTAAGATTTATTTACTTCTATGTGTCCAAGTGTTTCCCTACATGTGTGTGCATCATGTGCAAGGCTGGTGCCCAAATAGGCCTGATAAGGATTGGAACTGGAGTTAAAGCCAGTTGTGAGAAAACCATGTGGGTGCGGGGAACTGAACCCAGGTCTCTGTAAGAACAGCCAGTGCTCTTAACCAGCGAGTCACCTCTCCAGTCCGTATTTATTTTTAAATGAATCTTTCATTGCCCTCCTATTCCTGTTTTTGTAAATAATGTATAAGATAACTAAAAAATATAAACAGGTAGGATCTACTGGACCAAAGACAATGAATGCTGGTAACATTTTCCTGGTGTGCCCAGAGATGACACCATAGAGTCCCACTCTCTCAGCTGCACACAGAACCTACCATAACCAAAAGTACTAGACTAGACTGAAATGGAAGGCCCATAATTCATTATTGTTGGGTATAAAAAGCAAGGTGGAACAACAGAAAGTTAAAACAGTAAGACAAAATATCTGTAATCTATGCAATAGAGGATTGCTATGTACAGTATATGAGTGGATCCTACAATTCAGGAAGACAAACAACTCAATAGGAAAAGACTACGAAGTACAAGAATAGTGAAGAGAAATGCAAATGACTAAAGTGATGTGACAAAATGCAAGCCGGACATTAATTCAATAACAGGCTTGCAAAAAACGATGAAGTCTGACAACAGCAAACACTGGTACAGAAGTAGGAAACAAATGTCAACAAAAGTTAAATCTACACAACCATGTGAACAGGCAATTTCAGCAGAATCAGTTAAAACAAACAGTGTGCATCACAGTATAGTAGGGGCTGTTATGATGACTCATTTACACTTTTGCTTCACAAATAATTTCCTTTGTTTTCTGTCTACTACACCAGAATATTTCAAACATAGAAAGCAGGCAAAATATGCTACTTGTAACACTTAAAGGAATAGACAAATTTGTCTCAAATTTAGAAAAAAAATTACTTTTTGTTTTGTTTTACTTTTTTTTTTTTTTTTGAGATAGGGTTTCTCTGTGTAGTCCTGGCTGTCCTGGAACTCACTCTGTAGACCAGACTGGCCTTGAACTCACAGAGATCCGCCTGCCTCTGAAAGTTGGCATTAAAGGCATGTGCCACCACCACCCCACTATATTTTCTTTTTTGAAGACAGTGTTTCACTGTGCAGCCCTGGCTGGCCTGGAACTCACGAAGATCCACCTACCTCAGCCTGAGATTAAAGGTGTGAGCCACTATGGCTGACCTGGAAAACCTCAAATTCTTAAAAAGCTGAACAAATAGAAACAGTCAACATGGCAACTATGTATGAAGATTTGCATACCTGCCACATAGACACAGTCTTTTCTCACTGGGCTAATGAGCTAGTTAAACTCATATTCATATCTGAATGTGAATGACAAAACTGTAACAGCATATTTACTATTAAACACCAACACACAAGTTCAAAGTGATAATATACACATTCAGAAAAGAAGTCAAACTCTGAGAACTGTAAGGAATGGAAGAAGCACTTAGCACACATCTTTGCATCTCACAGCAGCGTCACTGGCTCAGTGTATACAGTCTGTCCTTTTCATTATATTTCCCACAATTTGCATGCACTTATTTGTTAACTTGTTGACTGTCCTTTTAACCCCACATATAGATTCAGGGACTGACTATGTTTTACCTATAATACTTGCCTGGTACTACTGTATGATGAACAGCATATATACTGGAAGGAAGGACAGGTAGGTAGAAGACAGACAAATGGATAAAGGAAGTGGGCAAAGGACATTATACAAATGAGACACGTGTTCATCTGAGCTCAGCCACACACCACTGAACATGATCAAGTGACAGCTTAAATAAATGCAGGAATACAGGATGGGTAACCGACAATTCCTATCCCAATGAAGAATTTTAAGTTCAAGAAGCTGTGGTTTGGGATAATCATCTTGGCAAGGACAAAGGTGAAGTGAACCAAGAGACACCCAGTTCTGCCCTGTTCACCCAGTGAAGAGCCACTGGAAAATTAGCAGTAAATTCTAAACACAACGTTCAGCAAGGAGGCTTTTACAGGTAAGCCTGAGCACAAAGCTGTATAAAAGGTGGGGGATCAGCATAAGAAGAAAGCAGAAGAGTCAGGAGGGTCCTCTGAGGACACTGAGCTCCTCCTGCAGACTCTGGTGTGATCTCTGACACAGAGCCACTAGCCAAGGAAGGCAGAAGCAAGCAGCTGTAGATGCATGCCCACCTCTTAGCTGGGACCGGAGGAAGTCTACAGGCTGTCTGACTGCCGGTTTTTACAAGTCAGCCCTCTTGACTGACACTAGCTGCTGCTCTACATTTCTTCCTTCTTTCTTTTGCTTTGACACTGAAAGAAGGGAATCCATGATTACATTTATTTCTTAACCATTAGTAGCTACAG